CGCACCAGATTCATTCCAATCTAAAAGAGACCGACCGTGGTACCCTGAATCGATAGAAAGAGGCCCAGGTACCGTATCTCAAAGAACAGTGGCCCTAAACGGTGCCACCTTAGTTGTCCCGTTACCTCACCGTTCATGAATATGCTGGAGAAACCGGTCCAGATGCATTGTGCCGTAAGAACAGGCCAACCGATCTGTGGCCAGGGCGCGAAGGGGCCTTTCACCCAGGAGGGGGGCAAGTCGTTTGGGCCTGTACTTTGGGCGGCCGACCCCAAAAGGGTCTCGGCGTGGGTGCTTTCCACCAATTATCCCGCACATGGGACCCGTTGCTTACGGTGTACTCACACTAGCACTACGCTAAATGTGCCCGTTGCTTCCGGTGTACTCGCACTAGTCTAAATGTATCGAACGGCATTTACAGCCATAGCTCGATGAATCTGACCGAAATTACATCCGGAAATAGTTTTTTTTTTTTTTTTTTTTTTTGGAACAATGCTGCAATAAGTATTCGAAAGGACAAGCAAAATCGGGCAAAGAAAGGCATGACAAAGACCGTTCTTTGCCAAAAAAAAAAAAAAGAAGACATCATTGATTCACTTTCTCCTATCCAAAATGACATAATAATTTGGCTTGTCTACTTGGAGTTGACTTTGGGGAACTTCGGTCCTTCCTGCAGGTTCATTGCCCCTTCCTTTTCTTTTTAACTCAGTTGTATTCTGTGTTGCCACTTGTACACACCCTCGTAAGAGTACGGATTCGTACTCTTGTAGTCCTACGCTACTCGTACGCTAGGGGCCTCGTACGTTTACGTTATGCAACGTAGGTTATATTCTTCTCCAAATGATCCTTTTTCACTATCTTCCTACCACCACTCCTAAGCCTATACAGGGGACTCCTGAGATGCATGTTGGGCGGTGGTGAGGGAGTAGGGCGGTGGTGAGGGAGTAGGGTGGGGCTGCGGGTGGGGGGAGCCGGCTAATGYGAAGGCCGAGCATTTTGCCAGTAGCTGCGCCTCCCATCTACTTCCCTCTAAACCCCATGGAGAAGCAGCAGTGGATATSGCCTCTCGCACACACCACACACAACCCACTCACGCTCACACTCACACCCGACGTCACCCGTGTTGGTCACAGACCCTAATASCGATCAGGGGTATCAAGCAGACTCTCACAGTTGGTTGGCACTAAGTCCGCCGCAGGCAGTCGTGGGCCCTCCACAACCTCCTGAATGCCATGTGCGTGCCTAACCAGCCGAGCTAGGCTGCTGGATCATTGCCCCCTCTTCTTTCCCGGGGGAGATRACCGAGAGGATTCCATTGCAAATTTAAAGAACCAGATCAGAAAAACCAGCGAAAGGGCCTCACTCCACTAAATTATCCCCACGTGCACAAAAGACGACAAACACAGTGGTATATRCTTCCATGTCCTACCCGAAGATTCATTCTCATTTTGCACATTTTGAGAGCACTGGAGCGAGGCGCAAAGTGTCTGCAACCATTACCCAACAATAAAGTATGGGACCATCACCCTGTTTCGGCTAAAGGCCCAAGGCCACTAACACAACAGATCAGATCAGATCAAAGCTGATCAGACCGGACCCGATCAGGTCGGATCAGATAAGATCAGGTAAGATCAGATAAGATCAGATAAGATCAGATAAGATATAGTCCTTCACGCTCCAACCATGGCTGACCATTCAGATCCCTTCGTGTCTGTGTACGGTTAGTTTCTGGTCCCTTGGTGTCTGTCTTCGGTTCGCTTATTGTGATGTTTTTCCATCTTTCGCAGTGAATTTCATTTTCGGTTCTCTTTTTGTGTGTGTTTGTGTGTTCTTTGCTCGTTTTCAGTCAGGCAGTCTGTTTCTGTCTTCCAACTTCCAGTGTGAGTTTGTTTCAAGTCAGTTCATGTCTGTGACCGTATTGTTGCATCCTGTGTCGACCTGTTGTGTGTGTTTGTCAGTCCATTTGACTGTGTGTTCTGTTCCTTGGCCTCGTTGAAGTGCGTGTCAATCTGAACTTCGTTGCCAGGTCGTTGYGGGGGTCTGTGGGTCCRTTGACGGTCCGYTTTTTTATTGCGGTTCTGCCATTCATCATTATTATTATTGTCTGTTGAAGAGGGATTCAGACTTTCATTGCGGTTCTGCCATTCATCATTACTGTTAGTGTCTGTTGTTTGAATGAGAGAMGAGGCTATAAGGAGTGCGAGGTGGTCAGTGAGAGAAGTGGGGGATTGTCATTCGTCTTTTGTTGTTGTTCATGTTCTTGTTGTTGTGTCTTTCTTYCCCCACTCCTTCTTTGTCTCTCCGTCCTTCCAGGGTCACTCATTCCTTTTGCAATTGGATGGCTTTGTGCTTTCTTGTGAATCTTGCACTTCAAAATGACCCATGGCCCCACCACATTCCGGGGTGGCGTACCCCTATTTTCCGCGGCAC